TCCCAATAACTTCATCAAAATACCGCCTAAACAAACAAATGCTAAAACCAATCTCAACCGAAGCGGCCAATTTAGTCAAATAAGAAACATTACATTTATATTTATTTATTCATTTATCCCTCCATTTATTTATCCATTTATTTATTATCTATTTATTTATTTATTTATTCATTTATTTATTTATTCTTTACTTATTTATATTTATATTTACATTTATATTTATATTTACATAAATATTTATATTTATATTTATGTATTTATATTTATATTTATATATTTGTATTTATACTTATATTTACAATTATGCTTATATTTATATTTTTTATATTGGTATATAAAACATATATGAATAAAAGAATAAATTAATAAGTTGATATAAAATTATTACATCCTATACTGCAGTACTTATTTATCTAATGTGTCTATTACATCTAAAAAATTTACAAAAGACAAAAAAGTATATATATATATATATTGTATGTAAAATATTTGTGGTTAAATAGAAGCATAGATGAATTGATATAAGCAGTATTTTCTTCTTTAGCAAAGGTAGCGGCATTTATATAACATTATATAGCATAGAAACAAAAATAAATATTTGAAGAAATTGAAAAATGCAGAATAAGAATTGAAAAATAAATTGAAAAAGTTTTCTGTGAAAAGATTCCTTTTTTTTTGCTCTGTGAGAACACAAATTTTTTACTTTCTAATTTTTTTCACAGAATAAATTTTGTCAATTTCTACTTAAAAAAAAAAATAAAAAATAAAAATTCTTTTCTATTTATGTTATATTTTTTCTTCTAATAAATGTTAATGGTAAATTAAAAAGCATTTCTGTGAACATTAATGATAAGTTTAATCAGCAAAAAAAAAAAAAAGAAAACAAAAAGTGAAAATGCGAGAAAGTAAAAAAAAAAATAAAAATTTAAAAACTTAATGCTCTTTGATGTTTTGGATGGTTGAAACAAATTTGGTATTAAGTGTATAGTGGCTAAGGATTAGGCTGAAGTGATAGTCTAAACTTAGTAGTATGGAGCAGTTAATTGTTTTTGTACAGTGGTTTGCCGGTATAAAAGACGGCAAAAAAAACGGCACTTATTGAATTTTTATGTTGAATAAATTTTATTTCGCTTCATTTACAATGGGAATGTAATACTTCTTTCTTACTTTTTTTTTTTTTCTTCTTCTTCCCCTTGTCTCGGTTTCGTATATCAGTGGATGCGCTTTTCAAATGCTACCATTATTTCATATTGCTGAGGAGAGAAAGATGCAAAAAAAAAAATTTGGTCCCAGAAAACTGCAAAATGGACGAGGAAAGACAGAATAATGTCAAAGAGTAGAAAATGTAAAAAAAAATATTGGTCAAAAGAAAAACAGTCCAAGAACAAAAAAAACAAAAAAAAAAAAAA